TCGTATTGGGAGGTATATTCGTATCAACTCTCAAAAACACTTGCTTGCCATCAATAATAAATCAGTAACAAACTACGGTTTCATCAAGATGATAATACCACAAACGTTCTAGTGATGGTTCGTACAAATTGCGAAGGGTAAGAAGTCCGCATGACGACACAAATCCGGATGATGTCTGTTTGTTATCAGCGCTGCGCACTCCGCTGCGCCAGGGCTGCCGTAATCGTATTATTTATTGAGTTCAGTCGATTTGGGAGAACTACGGCTTGGATTATATTTTTATTAAAATCTCTATTTATTGTGATTATCAAAACCCCAACTTTTAACATTAAAATTACATTTAAAATTAGTTATTAAACGACATCAGCAAAACTTTTATCAGTGATTTAAAAACTTAATATTTATCAGTCATAACATTCCGGAAGTATTAAATGCTTCACTAATAAATGACCGCTATAACACTTATTAGCGGTTCGCTTTTTGAAATTTTACAGATAAAATTCATCGTAGTCTAATTTTATTGTCCATTGACTTACAAATAAATGGACGACGGGTGTAATACAAAAACCACGAAAAAAATGTCCCAAGTCAACCTATTCGAAATTTAAATTGTAATGTCATCGCAGTATCGCGCTGTCAATAGAACAAGTGAAGACTAAAGCGGAGTGTCGCGCTCTGTATACGATTTTAGCGCCTTACAAGTGCGGACACTTTTTAGCGCGGACCCGACGTCCTAATTGTAAGTCAATGTTATTGTCGATCTATTTTTAAAATGGCCACCGTAAAGACAAGTTTCCCGCGAAAAAGTCTGAAAATTAAATTATTTAAGAAAAATATAAATCTAAGATCTGACAGTATGGCTAATTGGACGCCTACCCTGTCCCGAAGGTTGGAAAATGTTATTGCTATTACTATTACACCATTATCTAATCCACAACGAGTGATCTAGCTCGGAGCGTAGCTATTTAGGGTTGAAATAATTGTCAACCAGCTAAATAATATTTCTGCTCTAATGGTTCAATTCAAAATTGACTGTACAATAAAATAACGAATGGTATGTACTCAATCATGCGTTGTCAGTAGATCTCAAATGTATAAAAAAAAAATAGAAAAAACTAGAAATTATGATCATTATCAAATACAAAAGACTAAAAGGTAAAGAAAACTAATGTTCCAACCAACTTATTCATTTGTATATTACACCTCAGTTGAAACAAGCAGAATATTTTCTCTCTATATAATTAATAATTTTATCATCATAATCATGAATATTGCTACAATTTTACAAGACAGTAGAAATATTTTGAAATAACGATAATGAAACTATAATGAATTTGAACAACTTTAGCCAGAAGTATTATTTTTTTCCAATACTGTTTTCGATTTCCGAACAAATCGCTGCTGCTACACAAATGTATGTAGGGTTCATTGACTTACAAATAAATGGACGACGGGTCTAATACAAAAACCACGAAAAAAATGTCCCAAGTCAACCTATTCGAAATTTAAATTGTAATGTCATGGCAGTACCGCGCTGTCAGTAGAACAAATGAAGATTAAAGCGGAGTGTCGCGCTCTGTATACGATTTTAGCGCCTTACAAGTGCGGACACTTTTTAGCGCGGACCCGACGTCCATATAACTGTAAGTCAATGGTAGGGTTGGTAATAATTTTTGGGAAAAGAACTTTTATTTCTGTCTACAGTTATTTAGTTTTAGTTACACCTGGTATTTATATTAAAAATGTTAAGCATTTCACATGTCAAATTTCCTTTTTACTTTAACGAAAAAACCTGAAAGGATCTATCATGATTGATCACCCTATATTAGTGGTGCTTGTTAGATACACACAGACGGAGCATATCCTCTATAACACTTCATCCGCTGTCAACGTTATTAAAGATTAACGGCGGCGACCTATTTGATTGTTTTTTTGAAAATATTTAGCGCAACTTGCTCTATATTTCTAACATGCCACAGACTATAACCTCCTAACTACCAGTGTACATCAAAATGTACATAATGTATTGTATGAAGTGATCCGCTGATAATATTGTTCCTATGAGCACTTAAACGCTTAGTTTACATTATAATGGAAATATTGCATTCAAATTTAGCTTTTTATATTCTATGTGACTATAAGGTATCTAGGAAAAAAAGAAAATTTTAGTAGCAGTAGAGCTCCTTGTCAAAGAGTTCGTCCAGGGAAGTACTGCCACCTTACCTATTTCTGCCGCCAAGCAGTAATGTCAGCATTGCTGTATTCCGGTTTCGAAGGGTAAGGGTGCTAGTGAAATTACAGGCACATGGGACTTGTTAGCTTATGTCTCACGGTAACGGGCGCAGTGGCAGTGCCCGTCAGATCTTTGCGATTTAAAGCTCCGAGTGGCACTGCAACTGTTACGGACAGGTGTGTTGCTTACCTGCAGGCGTACGACTTGTTCATCCCGTCACTTGATATTATAAAAAAAATACTTAAAAATATCCCAGCTGCGTTTTTCATACTAAGGGTATACTTGCTATATTTAGTACATTTTAATGTACCATGGGTGTTTAGCGCTTTGAATAATATTCGCTCTTCATTTCGACAGTGATATTAAAAGGGACACACCAAACGCTGTTTTTTAATGTCTTTTTTTTTATATTACTTCATATTTATGATAATGAATGTAGGTATTACACATAAGAGATAGTTATATTTTTAACGCATTGTAATTATTGTAAACTAATAGCGTGCTATATTTGTACACAGGTAAAAATTTGCTGGTTATATTTAGTTAAAGAGTGTTATTTTTTATTATAAACGAAGTGATTGTAAATATAACCTAATACCTATAATCTAACCTAATTTTAAGGGTGTCCCCGTAGTGAAAGTAGTTCTTATTGTATGGAAGAATAACTTCTTAAAATATTATGAAATACTGCATGTTTTTCATCGACGATGTCCAGATCCAACAAGCGGATATAAATAACTTTTGAAACTTATTACTATTATTATTTAACTGCAAAACAATAACAATAACAATGCTAGTTAGAGCGAGCATTTTCCCCTCTTCCAGTTTCATCCGCTGTCAATATTATCAGCCGTCAACTATTACATTTGCCGTTTTTTCGCTTATTTATTGTTATTTCACACAATTGGTGAGATACTGAAATTGCTAGTTTTATTTCTGTATTAAAATTAATTTAGTCCTTTCTATTTTTGAACACTTCACTAAAACATGGGCATAATAAAAATAAATGTTTATTTTGAGACTTTAATTTTAAACTCAAGCATTTTCTAGTTCTATTTGTTTCGTTTTCATTTTATCATTCGTTTCAATTTTTCTTGATGAACAAATCTTGATCGCAACATCTTCGTAACAAAGTTTATAATAATGAAATTAATCATTTACAAACTTAATGTGACGTATATCAATTTGAGTCAGGTCATAACTATGAGTGAACAAGACGAAACAAAATATACTTGCGACGTATATTATAAGCACAAACAGACAATACGTATCAGAAGAGGAAAATAAATACGGTTACATTTAATTCTTTTTTCATTTAAAAAAAAATAAATGCGGCATGTGACCTCTCCATCTCAACTGATGAAAAATGACGATGAGGTCGACGGACTAAGAAGAAATTTAGTGTATTTATAAAATTTCACAAAAAAATATATAAATAAATATTAATAAATAAACATCTCCTGTCAGCCGCTGGTAGCTGTGAAGGTACCTAGCTGAGTGAAGAAAAAACTTTCACAGTTTTCTCACAGGTGGCGCTGCGGCAAAAAAACCAAAAACAAAAATCTGCAGTAAGCACAGAAAAATTTCATAAAGTTTGCTGATTTCCCCGTCCCGTAGAGCTGGGAGAGCGAAGCATGCGTTAAACGAATATGTCACTGGTTGAAGTCCAGCCGCATCGAAGCAATTTTTCCTTAAGTTTATTCGATCTTTGTATCCAATTATAAGAATGTTACAAAAACGTTAAAAATATTATAAAGTAACAAAAATATTAGTAAAAACTAACAAACAACGAAGGAAAACGTTAAAACCTAACGTAACTGTATTTGTACGCTATATTGTAGTTCAATATCCGTTCGTTTGAAATATTGTCAAATCAGAACAGGATAACGCGTCGCGGCCGTCGGAACTTTATTAGAATTTACAAACGAAATTTTCTTGTAAAAGATACCTTATGCCTGTAGTAAAATACTTTTATTTTGACGATGAGTTACTTATTACAGATTTTTAAAGTGTGTATAAATATTTAGAACAATAATTTTACATTATTGTAAAAGAGATGTGTTTTTTGCAATTTTTGACATATTTAATATGCAAAATTGTAAATTGTTTCTTTCTTATTTATTAATGTAGTAATCAATTATCATTTTATCATTAGACATTTGCATGCTATTTGATAGATGCGAAGCACTGTTTGTGTTTGTACTGGTACTGTTCTTGTTTTTCTACTTCTGTAATACCATGTTTAAAGCAAATATTATTATTATTCTAAGTTATTTATAGAATACGCCAACTAACTCATAGATAGATTTAATCGTTCCTTCCAGTTATATAAAAGTTACAACTCATTCTAATTCGTCTATGATTTATACGTCATTTCACTGTAACATAAAATGTGTAGTATTTTTGAAATGATTACATACTTATTCGAAGGATGTACCTAGCAACTAGTGTTCCTTAAGTAGTATAAAATGTTCTAATGCATTCTTATAGCAATTTTGCTTTGTTCCGTGTAATGTAATATTCTAATATCTAAATTGCGATATAATCATACTATTTTCTATTTAATAATTAACACTATATACAAAAGGCAAGATGTACCTATAGCGTAATCTTATGACGATCAAGATTTCGCATACATACTTGGGATTACGGATTGCTATGAAAATATATTGTATATCATAATCACATTTCGTATTTAAGTCATCAAATGACAGCTAAATAAGTAAGAAAAGTGAGAGCCTGTAAGGAGATTTGTTAATAAACTTACTTGAATAGAAGTGGTTTGTTGGCGAAAAGGCCCGAGGCCTTCTCTTTGGCCGTTTGCAGCCCCTGCATGTCGGCGGCCCGCGTCCGCCCTCACACTTGTACTACACTAACACCTGAAACAAGCATTCACACCAGACTTAAGTTATCCCCGTTAGAGTTCTTAGTTTTCTTTACTGCTACACATCGAAATTAAAACTACTTCTTCCGGGTTTAAGCCGCGTACATTTGTTAATTTAAACAAAGAATATTGTGGGGTTCTGTAGAGATGCCATGGTCACGGTTGAATTTTAGTCTTTTTAGTAGCAGTGTTGCCCCTAGTGAAAGAATTTGTCCAGGGAAGTACTACCTTACTTATTTCTGCCGCCAAACCGTAATGTGACCTTTACTGCGTTCCGAGTTTGAAGGGTACGAGTGTTGGTGAAATTACAGGCACTTGGGACTTATCGATTTATATCTCAGGGTGACTGGCCTAGTGACAGGGCTCAGATTTTTGCGATTTAAAGCTCTGAGTGGCACTGCAACTGTTATGGACAGGCATGTAGCTTACCACTAAGCATTCGGCTTGTTCGTCCCGTCACTTACTATTATAAAAAAGAGGCATTATACGTCAAACGTTATTGCCTGATATTAATGCAAACTACCCCATTGCACCCTATTAAATATTCCTGTATTCGATAGGTACCAAGGAGAAATCACCTATTAAACGAGAAGAGGCGGGAAATTGTATATCTGAAAGAACCCTGATCAAGTACGGCGTGAATCTACCAAAATTTTTCACATAATATATATTGGTAGAAGGCCATGGAATGATATGTCTACTACACAATGGCATGAGGATTCCATAACCATAGTAGTCACGTTCGGTAAGCAGGTATTTGATCACAATGAAAACTGCAATAAAAGATACGGATTGATGCACATTTTCTGCACGTGAGTCGTCGTATTTTGAACTGTCCGTGGAAAGATTTGTGATGCTACTATTCGCAACTCAAGACTACTACAACTTCCTCACAATTTTTGCCCGCCATTAAAATCACGGGTAGGCAGGTTACATAATGGTAGGTGCGTACATACATACATATATATATATATACAGCTGTATAATACTCTAAAGCCACATAGATGCCAAGGAAAAATCGTTAAAAACTCACGAATGAAAACACGTGCAGTAGGATTTAAGTAAGTTGTTGGGAAATAAATGATACAATAAGGAAAACTTACATTTTTTCCAGTTGCTCGGCGTAGCAGGTCCGCAGCGACGTCTGTCGATCGTAGCACCCCGCACGCCGCTTAACCGTAGCGCTACGGCTGCGCGTAAACCCCGCCGCCATTGGACCGAAGCTCTACAGACGTAGACGTTTTCCAACCAATAGTAGGCGTGTCCTGTAAAGGGGCGTGGTTTTGGAATTTTCAGAAAATTTCAGAAACCCCGGACACATAGATTTCGTTTTAACTCCATCCTGGTTTCCGCATTACTGTGCTCGGAATGCAGGCAGTTATGCTTTGAGCAACCTACGACCTACTCAACACATAATTTTGATGAATAATTAAATTACTTTCCCAACTCAATTTAGACATTTAGACAATCTTGACAACTTAATTAATTACCTTTGCTAAAGATGAACCATCATGAACTCAAAAGTTGAATTCCGAGGAAAAGTAAGAACAATCCGAGTACGTTGTTTCGTTACGTTGTATGAAAAATGTTCGAAGTCCCTCAGTTTCGAAGAAATCTTCGATTAATAAATATGCTCCAATTTAATTTAGTGGCTTTCTATGTTAAATATACATTTGTATTTTTCAGTATTCAACATAGAAAGCTATTTTGTATTATACTGTGTAATAGGCTGCAAATGTCTTAGCCGCATAAAAACAAAAATTTGACATTTTATGAAAGTTTGTTTTTAATCATGAGTGGTAAATGAGTGCGCATGAGAAGCTATTAAAAAAGAACTCAAACAGTAAAACTTCAAAAATTTACTATAAACACAGGTTTTCTATCTTTGTTCTCTAGTATACAAAAAGGCAAATCGTAAGGTGATTAACCTTATTGAATACTATACTATTGTCAAGGTCCAAGAACTAAGTAATTTTTGGAAATATGAGCTAGACGCCCACTTTTCGTGCCACTTGTTCTTTCCTACTAGGCTTATATAGAGCATTTCTCAATTAATACAATGAAATACAAATATATTTACACAAACAAGTCACTAAAAACGAGAAAACGAATACATTATGCGTAAGTGCTGGCGACCTCGGTGGCCCAACGTGTACTGTAGGCGCAGGATAAGGAGATCCCGAATTTGATTCTTAGTAGGACCAGTTCGGGAAAAGAACTTTTCTAAATTGGATCGGGTCTAGATGTTCTGGGCAATGCCACGGAGTGAATTGCTTTACTCTGATACTCATTGTAACAGAGAATTTCCTAGTTTGAGACCAGGTAAGGGTGAGGGATACCTGGCAGATTATTATTATATTATTATTGTATCTTTATAAATACATTTCATATAATTTTTTTTATTAAATATTAGAATTCTTAGGTTTTCGCTCCCTTAACTCTGTCTCACCTTAGTCAACCGTGATCATGGGTCCTGTAAAGGGCTCGAAACGTCGGTTTGTTCGAAAAACAAATATACGCGATTTCAATTCGGAAAAATAGTTTCGTTTCCTAAATGTTAGACTGTTTTCAAAATAAATTAAAAAAAGTGAGCAGACTGACCTTATCGCATTTATTTTTTAGTCATTTTAATATTGTATGCAATGGTCAAATGTTTTGCACCGTTAGTGTGATAAGGTCACGTCGGCAAAATGACAGCTTTTTAGGAGACAGGTTTAAATGCTCTATGGACAAAACCAGTCGACGATTTTTTTATGCTTAGCGGAGTTACAAAATTTAAAAATTATTTTTATGGCTTTCATGTTATAAAAACACTTTTGACGTATCGTCACTTGTGGCTTTTTTATACCAAGGATACGATTTAAAAATTTCAGTAAAGTAGCGATAAAAATAGATTTTCATAATATAGACTTCGCCGGAAAGTAATTTGTGTTCTCAAAATTTGTAGTATGACATAAATTAGGCTAATTGAGTGTTCAATAGAAAATCGAAAATTTCCAAGCATGTTTGAGATAATCTCAGTACAAAGTACTAAAAAAAACCGACCTCAAAAGTACGTGGAATTACGTCTATTTGCTAAGTTTTATTGAAATATCCCCTAGTTCGCCACTATACAGGACTTGACACTGGAGATAATAAAAATTGGTTCTCACTACTCAAAGTATATTGAGAGAAAAACGCCTTGAATTGGAGAAATACCAAAATCAAAAATAATTGCTCCTAAATTAATGTTAGGCGCTATTTATGAAAATGAATCTTCATACGTAAACAGCCACCCTTCAAGGTGGATGATTTTCTTCAAAATGAAATTGGACCATTATGGAAGTACCCCCTTTCCAACAAAAAAAGAATCATGCAAATCGGTTCACAAATACCGGAGTTATCGCGTAACATACATACAAAAAAAGAACCTCCTTTTTTGAAGTTGGTTAAAAAGGACAGTTACGGCCACCTGTACGAGCGGCAAATGAGGCCATACTAGGGAAGAGCCTTAATATCGCAAATGCATCGTTGGTCAATTTAACATTTAGGTCTCCGTGCCAATGATTGCACTGACATGCACGTATGCATGCACTATAGTTCAATATGAAACATAACAGTGCTGTTTTACAACAGATATGGCGACATCTAGAGCACTGAGTGCCTTACCGCCAGTAAATCTGTATATCCCTCTGCTACAACTGCACTCCCCTTCAAAGACAAACGCTGAATCAGCGTTTAGGCAAAATACGACATCGATATCGGCAGACTTCATTTCACGGCCAGCGGAGCCCGCAAATGAAGTTTCCGCGCTTCAATGATCACCGGCCTACTCGCTTTGGTTTCATCCTTCTATGCAAGTATAGATACGTTATGTCGAGTTGTAGAAAAAAATAGATATATTTGAAAATGTGAAGCAATAGCTCTTCATGGTGTAGTGATACTGTAGGAACAAATTCGCATAAAATCTTTCGCAAATTTACAAATGTAAATAAAATATTTATAAACACTATCACTCTGTCTCCTAATGAAAAAGGTTTACCTACTTTCTTTCCGAATATTTTGTGATATATAAAAAGATTCATTTTTGAATTATTTAAAACGGAATAAGATTATCTGACAAAACGGCGTTATTTTACTTGATGTATTACAATAAAAGGAGAAGGGATAAGAGCCATTTTATTGTGAATCCCTGCCACTCGTGATGTACGCCATAACACTCTGTGAATATCGTTTAAATAGGAATATCTGTTCATCAGACCGTTTTAACTTTTGCGTATACTACATTTTTAATTTTGAAACCATTTCCAATGTCTTTACCTTTTTACCGACATTGTAAGAATTACGCTTATGTTTATTTCTCAATTATAATGTTCCAGCATAAATTGCTCTACATGTCCAAAGTATAAGAAATTATATCGTGATCGTCAAATAAAAATTAAAAATAGACATTAGTTATAGTTAACGACTTTGAAATTTTAAAAAAAATATCAACTCCTTTGATTAATATTAAATAATTTCATAGAAAGTTTCATCAAAGTATTCCGTTATTATTATCACCAATGATCTTAATTAGTTAAAAAAACTGTATTATCGTCTATGTAGGTCCTCGTGCCTTTGATAACGTTTTGAACTTGCCGTTTACAATAAAACATTTTTTTTTTCTTTACATTAGACATAAATATTAAATCTGTTTTGTTTACAGTATCTAATATGTTGTAAAATGTAAGCTAAGGTAATTAGTTAAATTTGGCCGTTTTGTTGCAATGTTTACTTTATATACATAATTTAATTACAGATACAAAAAAATATTTAAATTTAAAAAGAAATAACAAATGAACTGTTAATATAATTGAAACTTTACCTTGTTGGCATGTCGTTCAATACCATCAATAGGTACCTATTATTGCAAGTTACGACGTTTTGAATTTATATTGAAATTTCAATCAATGTGCTGCCATCTAGCGGTTAACAGCTGAACGACGACAAATTATATCTTCATTTTGTCGTCTACCTGACTTAGTTCCCCAAAAAAGAAGCGACCATATTGCAGCGGTATAAAGTTTACTTTCGTTTCTTGTAACAAAAAAATTATTACCTTCTGTGAATGTTAGAACGAAAAGTGAGTTAAAACTAAAAATCGCAATGTGCAATGTGTCGTTGGGTGCCACGCTGCGTCACGTTCCGCGGCGTCGGCGCCTCGTGTTTATTTATTTACTTAATTGCATCACGGATAGCACAAACAAATGTATCTCGTACAAACATGGACCCTGTTATAGTTTTGCAATCTTATACTACTCTAATGTTGAAAAATAAAACATAATCTAAATATTATATTCCATTATGAGTGACTGACGTTTAGCTATTGCATGTCACGAAGGCTGGAAATTAAACAAGTGTGTGTCCTTATTTATTTATTCAAATTCTTGATAGGTGAGAGAAGAAAATTTTGCTTAATAAATCTGTATCAATAAGATCGACCAAAGACCAGGCGAACTTAACGTAAAACAATGTAGTCAAAGTAATGTTATATTACAGAGACAGTTGTTCTCAGTACATTCAATGACCAGGTACACCCAAAAAGGATAAAGTAACAAATGTTTTGGAGTTGAAATCTGTGTGTTCCAACCGCAGTTTTTATGTACAGCGTTACCGTGGTGTTGCCAGATGGTTACATTTCTTACATTTTTCATAACTTTTAACCTTCTCGAACTTTTGTTTTTACGGCAATTTTCGTAACTTTTAAGGAAACCGAAATTTTGTGAATTCAACTATATTTGTTATTATAAATCCTAAATAGTTTACGAATGCACCTAAACTAGACAATAAAGTAATTTAGAGATGACGCAAATAAAATTAAATCATTCAATTACTGGTTATATATATGTTTTCCTTGAGTGGGTTTACTTTCTGTTTTTAGAATTTTGGCATCTTTTATAATTAGAATTTTTGATTAAAAAAACGTAAATTTAGCAGAACAATGTAACCTTTCTGGTAAGGAAAAGTTATTTTTATCTCAAGGGCCAAGGCAACACTGATTACAAACACCGTTGAAAGGCACTCAAAAAAGACCTAAACCACGATGTTTCTAAATGTGATCAATGTCCTTATTCTGACTCTTGTGGCGTTGATATCAACTTTCTCTTCATGTCTTATGTTGTTTATGTTCTGGGAATCATTTCGCTATGGGTAAAGTCTGATCTAAATTACATACACAAAGAAATATAGTAT